TGTGCACGTGCCACACCCCCGCCAGACCTCATGGCCTCTTCCATGCTTCTAATCATCCTTGAATGCTCAGACATCACCATCTTCCAGGAATCTCCGTTGGCAGCCCTCCCCAGAAGGCTGGGTGAGGTCCCCTCCTGCGGGTCCTCGGCACAGAGACCCCTTGTCACACCACACATTACGCATGTTATATTGTAATCGACTCTTTACTATTTTAGCTCCTCCTAGGAGGGCAGAGACACCCTTTTGTCTTGCTCACTGCTATATTCCCCAGCACCCAGCAGAGACGCCTTGCCCTACATAGGTGCTCAAGAAACATGTTTTGAAATAATGAAAGAACAGATACAAAATACAGGTAAAGCTCCTAGCACAGTGATGGGCAGAGAAATGGTAATGGACAACGCCGCCACCATCATCATATGGCTCATTCCCACACTGAGCCACATTTCTCTAATGGAAACATAAGTCAAAATTCAGGCCCTGCCAACTGTCAGGTGAAATGGTGGGTGAGCTCCAGTGTCTGTGGAGATGTATCTATGAGGCCCCTGTCCCCTGAGATGTGGATCTGTCCCACCCTTTCCCTGGCTCTCAACCAGACTCATGCTTTTCCTACCCCCTCTCAGTGCGGGGAAGGAACAGTACTTCACCCCCAACTTGATCTCTGACCCCAGAGCCAGTGACTGCTCCTTTTTTGGGAGGAGGCCCCCTAACCACAGCAGCACTCCCCTGGGCAGATCAGAGGAGAGGATCCCTGAGATATGTAGCCTCAGCTCACCATGACGTCCCCACCAGCCTCCACCAAGATCAGGGGCCCAGGGAGTTTGGCCAGTGATTCTCCCCAAGACCCCCATTTGCATTTCTATGAAGGCACACATCATTGGCTTCCTGCTGTCGTGGCTTGTGTCCATGTTTTATCTTCCCTACAGGATTACTCACACTTTGAACAGAGATCATGTTTTGATAATGTTTGCGTTCCCCATAGGGCCTGACATGGAACCCCAATGATCGTTGAATAAAAACATGAATGAAAAAAGGGGTGTGTGGATGAGCATTCCCAGGCAGAATTGCCATTTTCCACATTAAGAAGATGGGCTTTGTCCTATTATTGAAGACATTCCCTCTTGTCCCTTATGAGATTCCAGAGGCTAATAACCTTCAGAGTCAAGAGGATCATTTTTCCTTGTCCAACCTAAATTACTCCAGATGCAACTTCAGTGCATTTTCTTTTTATCTCCCTCCATAGCCACTGGGACTAAAATTCATTTCTTTGCAAGGAGACAGTTACTAATTTACCCTTTAGCCTTCTGTCCGACAGGCTAATCCCAAGCCCTTTATCGTTCACTCCCTGGGGCCCTATTGTCCAGCCCTTTCCCTGTTCTGCTGCTCCTTGGGCCTTTTGCCAAGCTCTCACCGGCCTGCCTTGGCCGCACAGGCAGGACTGGGGCCGACCGCTCTCCTTGGAGCCATACACATGCACAGATGCTCACACCCCTGCCTACCACACAGGACACACACCTCCCCGCACAATCCGGTCTTCGGGAGACACATGGCCTCCACCCAGTCACCGGTTCATCTCCTCCTGCGCCCCCGGGGTCCTGGTCCTGTGAATTCTCACACACCTGGACGCGCACTCCTGCGTGCAGACGCCTCTCGGAGCTTTGCTTTTTCCCCACAGGAGAGCCAAAAACTAGGCGGCGCATTGGAAGCCCTCTCCCTTGTCCTGCCCGACCTCCTCCCCCTCCCTGCCTCCCTCCCCAGCCCTCCTTCCCATTGGTCCCAGCAGGCCAAGCCTACTTTCTCTCCACCTCCTCGGTGATTTTCTACCTCAAGACTAAAGGTCAGGAATAAATGAACCCAGCTGGGCTCTCACCTCTTCCTGCCCTTCTCCCATTTCCCTGCTCCCCAAATCCTCAAAGCACCTTCCACTTGCCAGGATCGCCACCCCCTTCATCCCCCTCCCAACCTCCATTCTTCTGGCTTTTGAGAGCACAGGATACTCAGGCATTTACCTTTTGAACAGGAACAATGGAGAAGCTTTGGCAACTACTGACTGGCTGGTTCCATCTCAGATTTCAAGGACAGGCCAGGTTGCCGGGCACCGCGTCACCAGACCAAGGGACTCAGGGACATGAGAGTAGTTGTTCATTCATTCAACAAATATTTATCCAGCACCCTCCACATGCTAGGCACTACTCTACATTAACAAAGCCAACACAAACCGGCCCTAACAGCCTGTACATTCTATAGGTGGAGACAGAAAACAAGTAAGTACAATGTACTAGGTGTCAGGTGGTACCAGAAGGCAGAGGAGGATGGAATGCAATAAGGGGTGGAGTGTGCAACTTTAAATAGGGTGACCATCAAAGGCCTTACTTGGACGGTGGCATTTGGAAAAAGACCTGAAGTAAGGGAGCAAGCCGTGGGGGGCCTGGGAGGCCCCTGTCCTGGGCCGTGAGGGCCGTCGGCAGGCAGTGTTAGGGAAGGCCAGTGTAGAGCGCCGAGAACGCCCTGCTGGCAGATGGCAAGACAAGGTGCCAGGAAGAGCTCTTCCTCGACCCCAGGGCCTGGCGTGCGAGGAGAGATGGGAGGCCAAATGAGGGATGAAACAAAAAGATGGCACACAATACTATAAAGCAAACAGAAAACAAAGTTTCGAGGTGTTGGTGCAGGCCGTTTCCAGAAGGAAAGAGCTGAACCTGCAGAGGTGGATCAAGGAGAGCCTCGGTGTCCTCAGAGCTTGTGGGCAGGAGACGGTCCCAGCCACAAGGCAGCCAGCCCCATGGCTGCGCACCACTCCAACCGTGTGCATGTTTGCCTTCAGTTACTCCAGGGAGTGGGGAAGGGAGCTGCTTGATCACCTCGGACCGTGTTCAGCAGCGCAGTGGCACCTCTGGCATCCTCTCTCCCCCAGCGATGCCTGCACAGACCCCACCTCTTCCTCCGCACACTTGGATTTCCTGAGCACTTGCTCTGTGCCAGGGGCTGCGCAAAGTGCCTTCCGCACAAATCTAACAGCAGTCCCACAGGGGAAGGAACATCTCCCTCCAGATGAACACCCACCATCCCACCACCTTTCATCCCCCTTGTCCCTTTACAGCCCCACTTCTGAGCCTGAACAGCACAGGTTAAGCCAGGCCCACAGCCAGGTGGAGCTGAGATCAATTCCCTGTCCCTCTAACTCCTTACGAGGTCTCGGACAACTGTCTGGCTGTGACACCCAGCGTGCTCACCTGGGGACAATGCAGGGAAAGAGGCAGTTAATAGCCACCTCGTGCACCACTGCAGGAATCTGATGGGAGGAGCCTTGCTCTGCCTTGGTTCTGAGACATGCTGCCTGTCTTAAAGTCGTGAGGCATGTGGCCAATAATCTGTAGCTACGAATAGTTAAACGAGAGAAAGGTGAAAATGGTGTTAGTTTGAGTATCAGTGAGTTCAGTGTTTCCTCTGCAGCCATCACTCTCCCTCACTGGCATTCCACAGAGCCTTCCTGAATGGGAAATAAAGGGGTGAAGTGACAGCTCCTCCCCCGGGGAATTTGCATCGCAGGCAGCAGCCTATCTTATCTGTGCCACAGCTCCAGGGAGTGCAGCAAGCAAATACCTGTGGCAGGTGGCAGGACCAGGCTGAGTGCCGCTGTGCTGGTGCATAGCGTTGTCATGGGCCCTGGCACGCAGTAGGTGCTTCTGGGTGGAGGGGCCTCAGTGGGGCAGAGGAGTGGTGGGAGGCAGAATGGAGACTCTCTGGTTATCACCGCCTACACTGTCACCTTCAGGCACAACTTTGTAGCTTTCCCCTCTTAAGCAAAGAGATGCCTGGATAGCAGAAAGCGGGAGACGGACAAGGGAGGCCAGGGGGGAGCTGAAGTGCAGGCTGGCCCAGGGTCTCTCAGGTTCTCCCTAGGAAGATGCAGGTCTGATGGGGAGGCTATAGGGTAAAGGTGACGCCTAGGGGTTAGCTAAGGGTGAAACATTCCTGCTGGTGTCAGGGGCTAGGACCCAAGGGCCTGGCCCCAACATTCATTATCTAGGTCCAAAGCCACCCACATGGAAGGGAAGCTCGCTGCTAGGCTCTCCACAGCATGGGGTCTGTCACAAAGCTTCCTCCTTCTGGCCACCAACCCCTTCCTGCTCAGTCCCCAGCCTGCCAGGTCCTCACCACCACAAGCCCTGCCCCTGACCCCCAAGCTCCTGTGCCACCTCCAACAGAGGCCTCCCACCCAGAAGCTTTCCCGGACTCGGGGCTGGGCTAGCAGCCAGCCCCAGCCTCCTGCAGCCACGGAGAAGCTGCTCTGGTACCTGGCAGAACTGCCCAATTCCTCTGGTGGGCGAGGGCCCCACCCCTGTGGACACTGCCTACGTACCCTACATGATGCTCCCGGCCAGAGGCAGCGGAGGTGCCTGCCCTTCTCACCCCAACCTGCCCTCACTTGCACCAAGGGAGAAAGATAGGGAAGGCAACTGAGGGAGGGGTAAGAATCACAAACTTTCATCTGGAACCCTCTCCCCGGTACCAGTCACCACGCTTCCCATGTTCCTCCTTCTCCAACAGAGGGCTCAGTGGCCCGACACAGCCAGAGGCCATCCAAAATAGACGGAGATTCTTTATTTAAATCAGCAAACTCAGATTCTTCAAGCCCCAGCCCAGAGTGGGCAGCCCTCCCTCCCTGTCCCCTCGCCCCCGCCCCTTAGCCACAGCGAGGGGAATGGAAAATGAGAAGCCATGAGGGCTGCTGCCGGGGCAGGCCGCCCCAGATGTGTGGCAAGCGCAGTCCAGCTGTGGCTTGGGGGACAGCCACCACAGGCCCTTCCCTATAAATTAAGTCCCTGCAGCCACAGCTGTGGGCGAGGCCTATTTGTGGAAAGAAGAGGCCAGAAGGCAGCCTCCCTGGCCCCTAGCCAAGGAATGGATTGAGGCACAGAGCTCAGGGGGAAAGAGAAGAGGAATGGCAGGAGAGAGGCCCCAAAGTTTGGTCCCAGGGGAGAAGAGGAGGCCACTTGGTCCAGTTGTGGTGGGTTTGGAGAAAGGAATGTATTAGTAAGCACGGGGGGGAGGCTGCTGCCGGGCACCCCCAGAGGAGACAGGCCAGGCGGCCACCCCGGCAGAGGGGAGCTTGAAGGCTCCAGGGGCTCAGGGAATGTCACTGCTAAAATATATATATATATTAACCATTCACGGGAAGGCAGGGGCAGGCCTGGGGGGCAGGATCAGAGGATCTGGCGGGGCATCCCGTAGCCCGTCATGCCTGCCTGCGACGCCCCACGGTTGGTGCCCATCTGCAACCCGATCACATTCTTCCCCTCCTGCAGCTGGTTGTCTGAGAAGCTCCGGGGGTTCTCCTTGGATTTCCTGAGTGGGAAGGGAGTGCTGGTTAGGAGGAGTTTGGGGCCACCCCGGAAGGTTCCCTGGACAGAGCCAGCTTCACTGTGGCTCCAGCGGTGCTGCTCATAGTACCCTTGAGGGCCTTGAGCTCCCTGCAGCCACCTCCTCACGTCCTCACCACCCCAAGGGAGTTGTGAGGATGGACACGAGGAACGTGCTGCGGGTGGACTTGGTGACGGGCCGGCTGCCCTGGTGGCCTCACTCATTTCCTAGGGACAGGGTCATCGCACCTGCCCAGGCTTGGCTGCCCCAGCAGTACTCACTTGGGAAACCAGTTGGGATCCCCAGAGAAAAGCCCGTCATCCCGGGCCACTGCCAGCCCACCCAGGTTCATCAGCGTCCGCTGCACACAGGCCATGTTCTTTCCTGGGAAGGAGAAGGGGGTGTGTTCTCAAGGTGGGGGGCCTAGAAGCCAGAAGCCAGGGCTCCCCTCCTATCACTCTGCCAGCAGGCCTGGCTTCCTTATCCTTTTACCCTTTGCCCCCATACCCTTACCATTCTCCATCCCAACCCTCCAAAACACACACACACTCCTCTTTATCCTCAGGGTGCCAGGAAAGTGCCCCTCTCCCTGGTCAGGACAGCTCAGCTGTCTCTGGCCTTCGGGCTGGCAGCGCCCTGGGCCCACCTTCCCAGAGGTCCACGGTCTGGAAGATGTCAGTGGTGTTGATGCCGTAGCGCTCGGCCGCCTGCAGGAACTGAGAGATCTGCTCCATCTGCTTGAAGGCCATGGTGGAGGCCTGGATCTTCTTCACTGGGGCCTGCCCCTCGGGGTACAGTCCGTTAATGAGCTCACACAGCACCTGGGTGAGGACAGTAGATATGCAGAGGCGAGCAGGTTCCTCTCCTACCTGAAGAAGCGTGGGCCCCACCTGGCGTCGGCCTCGGCCTCCTTCCTGCGCAGCCCCTGCCCCCGAGCCCAGAGTGCCAACTTGCTATTCCAGTACCACCGACTACAGCACACCTCCCCGTTCCTTCCTTAGAGCTGTTCTCCCCAGTGTCACTCAGGGTCCTCTGCTGCAGGGGCGGCATGTCCCCCCACCCGTTCACTCAATGGCAGGGAGGGAGGCAGGGTCCCGTTCACGAGAAGACATCCTGGCGTGGGGAGGTTAGGGCAGGGAGTGCCCCCAGTTCTGCAGGGCATCAGTCCCAGGTCCCCCAGCCCCAGCTCCGCCTTCCTGGTACTTGCAGTGGAAGGGACCCGGCTCTCACCGTGCCGTCCTTGAGCCAGTTCTGGAAGTTCTCGCGCCCAGGCTGGGGCCGGCCCACGTCCCTGCGGCACTGGGTGGTGATCCACTGGATCAGGATCTGCTCCAGGTCCACATCGTATTGTTTCTCGATCTTCTGCTGCACCTCCCGGCTCAGGCCGTAGGCAGGTCCCCTGTTGGCCATTCCGACAGGCGATGGTAGCTGGGGGAACTGGGGAGGACACACCCAGATCTGCGGTGAGCACTCTGCAGGCTACGGTGGGGGATCTGCCTGCAGGGACACACCATATCCCCCGGACACGGGCTCGCAGACCACCGCTTAGGCCTCCAGCAGATGTTCAGGGGCCAAGCAGACCGTCTCTGGGTTCTTCTGCCTCTATGATAGGCAGTCTGTTTATTATATTGAAGCTTCCCATTCGATTTCATTTGAATGGTTCCACTACTCAAATGAAGCATAAAGCCCACAGGAAAATAGGAGGTAAATCAGGCCAAGACTGGGAGGTTAGCCCCTCATGTGGGACGGTGAACTTAGCAAAGGCAAACCTGCTTTTACAGCCCTGGGAAGCAGAATGATTTGGGCAGAGGAGGAAGAATATGGAGCAGCTCGGGAAACCCATGGCAGGAGCCAGAAGACCAGATGGACTGACCCGCCATCAGCCACGGGGTTTTAACTGAGCACCCACCATTGGTACTAGGGACTGTGGGAGACACACCCACAGGGCCACCAGGGAGACAAAGTGAGCACATATGAAAAGGGAAAGGTTGTATACAGCATGTACTAAACTGCACAGTCACACCATATGTTGTAGTAATTCAGACGCAAGTATAGGCAGAAGCAGCCTGGGGGGCTTCCTGGAAGAGGCAGGTTGAGTAGTCAGTCCCTCAACAGATTTCAGCAGGCAAAAGGAACTTGCCATCAGAAACGCGGCAATAAAAACAAACTCTACTTTCCTTTCTAGAAGCTGTGGTAGGCAGATTAATGGCCCCCAAAGGTGCCTATGTTCTAATTCCCAGAACCTGTGAATGTTGCCTTATGCAGCAAAAAGGGGCTTTGCAGATGTGACCTTGAGACAGGGAGCGTATCCTGGATGACCCAGATGGACCATGCGATGTGGGGGGGCCTCCAGAAGCTGGAAAAGGCAAGCAAATGGATTCTCCCCGGAGCTCACTGGAGGAACACAGCTCTGCCAACACTTTGATTTCAGCCAGTGAGGCCTCTGTTGGGGTCTCTGGAACTTCAAGACACTAAATGTGTGTTGCTTTAAGTCACTAAATTGATAAGCAATAGGGAAGTAACACAGCAGCCTTAGGTGGTATTTTTAGGGAAGCCTGGGAAGAGAGGGAGGGATGGGGAAATAGGCAGGAGGGTTTCTTTAACTCAGCTGGAGGGCCTTGGTTTGGGAGAACTAGTGGCTGACCCCGGCCTGGGCTGGCAGCACCTCACTGTGGAGAGCCTGTCCCCACCCCCACTTCACCGCCAGGGTCCCACACTCAGGGGCCTGTCCTGTTGAGCAAGACCCCAGAATGCTCCTGATGCCAACGGGGAGCTGGGACCAGGGAAAGGAAAGGACCCCATTTCCTGTCCCCATCCCCTACCCATACTGGCTTCTCTTTCTGCTATGAAAGTTAGGTGCCCGGATGCTCAAGAACAGGGAGCCCTGAGGACAGGCACCTGCGCTCAAGGAGAGGAAAGGGAGACACCCCTTCCTGTCACACCTGGTTCCCCGCCAGACCAGGCCTCAGGGATGAAGGCACTGGGGCTACCTCTCGCCCACGCACCCCAGGGGAAAGAGCAGCAGCTGCCTCGAGGGGGCCCCAGCAGTCAGAGGTCGGGAGCCAGGCTCCACCCCCATGTGCCCAACGGGGCCCTCTTTCCACCAGCTTATCAAGCACATTTCCGGCAAAGATCATCCCTATAAATCAGTTATTTTTAAACCTCTTTAAAAGCCACCCAACCCCCACTTCCCCCAGCCTGAAAGCTGGGTCAGATAAATGTCGGTGTGGGCCCTGACCCGCACCACCAGCCACAGGCAGGCAGTGCCTGGCTAAGGCCTGTGAAGGGAGGCAGACGAGAACTGCTCAGACATAGAAGGAAGGAGACGGGGCTAGGGGCTGCTGTCACTAGCAGGCGCCCCTTTCCTAGCCCAGTGCCCAGACCTCTCTTCTGGGCAGCTCCTGTGGTCACCTTGGCCTCAGGGCCGTGTCTGCACAGAGCCAAGTGGCCTGAGGCCCAGGGATCACTATGGTAAGGGAAAGAAAGGGTAGGGAAATGATTAACCAGGATGCCAGCCAGTTATGGAGAGAGCAGACCTAAAGCCTGGCCCCTCCAGGTCCCCCCAGAGGCAGGGCAGACCCTTCCTGAGCCACCCACGGGCAGGACGGCCTCAGTCTCCTGTAACTCAGGGGTAGGGTAGGGGGAGAATGTGTTCCCAGCCGGAGGCAAATAAACCTTTGAAACCGAAATCGGTCAAAGGGAAAAATAAAGTGGGAGAAATCCATTTACTGCTTACAAAGAGTTGCTACTACTCCCCACCCCCCCCACCCCCGCTTCTCCCCATCCTGACTGAGAAGTCAAAACAAAAAACAAAAACCTCTGGTTAGGGCGTGTTCGCCTCTTCTCCGCCCTCTTTTAAGCACCTATTTATACGGAGATGGACTAAGACCAGGCAAGAGATATTCTGGAAATACTGCAATTTTACCCACACTCCCAGACCCACTCCTGGGCTCGGGGTGAATGCTGGTGGCCCGCCCTGGCGCCTGTACACAGCTGGCAGAGTCACAGCCTCCAGCTGCAGTGTCTCCACTCCACTGAGGCCCTTGCCCTGAGCCCAGAGGTGCCAGAGCCACGGGGGGCGGAGCTCTGGGAAGGGGCGGGCTGGCAAGCCGGCAGCTGTTTCTGCTCCCCACCCCCAAACACCAGGCGAGAGCTGACAGGCTGCGGCTGCTGGAGCAGGAGTGGCCCACCCTGGAGGCACCCAGGGGACCTGCCCCGGCCCTCCCTCAAAGGCAAGGAAGACCACGAGCTGCCTGCGGGGGTGGGAGATGCCCAGAGCAGGGGTGGGCAGCTGACAACTTGGGGGTGGGCTGGCTGTTAGTGATCTAAACTCCACTGCAGCCTACAGCTGTAGGAACCGCCCTCACCCCACCCACAAGGTTACAATAGTCGGGGAACGGGGAGGGGCTGCACTAGGCGCTCCGGCTCTCGGCCCCACCCAGACCCGGGCTGGGAGCTTACCTCACCCCACCCTACGCCAATGCCAAAGAAAAGACGGATGAGGGTTGGGGGGAGGGGAGGATAGTCGAGTTCCTGGCTGGGCGGTTTACTGGGAAGACAAAGGGACCCTCCATACCCTCCATCCATTCTGCAGATAGGAGTCAGGGGGAACTTCCCAGCCAAAACTGGGATTGCCTGTTCTGAAAGGGTGAAACGGGAGTCCCTGCCTCCAAAGGGAGGGCCACAGGGAGCAGGCCGGTGGGAGAGCCATGCTTAAGGGGCCACCGTGAGGCAGCCCCTCACCATCAAGCCAGAGAGCAGAAGGAAAAGCTGAAGCTACACAAACAGGAAGCCACAAGGCTTGCCCAGGAGGAGGGGTGAGGTGGGGGCCGTTGCCATGGCTTTGGTGTACCAAACACAGCAACGGGTAGGGTCGGGGCACCATGCGGAAAGATGCACTCAACACAGCCAGGGCCGTGAGGAGGCTCTGAGCGTCAGGGACACACAGGTGGGACCCTTGGGAAAGGAGCCCTCTCCGCAGCTTCAGGTAGAGCCAGGAGCCCGGGATTCCTGCGGGGCGGGGCGAGGGGGCGGTGGGAAGCACCTTTGCAGTAGAGTAGACTTGAGGAAATAGGGCAGGAGAAGCAATGCAGAAGGTATGTTCTCAGCTAGCGAGCCCCATCCTGAAAATCCTGGAGGGAGAGGGGACAGGGTGAAGAAAGGGGCCGAGGTCGGTCCTCGAAGGCTGCAGAGAGATGGGGGCTGAGGACTGACAGAGCGCTGCAGCTGGACAATGACTACCTGCGGGCGCTGCAAAGGCAGGGCCGGGCTGGCCCCCACCACACCTTGGCAGCCTATGCAGTTTCAGCCCTCCCTGCGACCTGCAAGGGGTCACTGGGGGCGGGAGTGGAGAGGGGCAGCTGTCCCTCGGCCTGGCGCTCTAGAGAGGACCAGGGAGAGCCCATCCAAGCGCAGGTCTCCACCCCGGTCCACCCTCGCTTCCACCCACTTCTCTGAGCTCACAGACCCAACTTCCCCCAGAACCTTCCTGGCCTGGGCTCCAGGAGGATACTGGTGGCCCGCGGCGCGGGGAAGGCGGCAGTCCACTTCCGGCCCTGCTGGCCCGGCCCCCACGGCCGCCCCGCCTCGCCACACCCTGGGCCGTTACTGCGGAATGAGTCACCCAGCGCCCGCCGCTGGGTGACGCAGTGGTCTGGGCAGCCCGCCCGCGGCCGCCACCGGCTTTCCCAGCAGCAGGGGGCACGGGGTTGGGGGGGTCGGCTAGAGGGGAGGTAGGAAGGCCTGGAAAGCAGCCAGCCCCTCCCGATAACCCCTCACAGGCAGGGCGCCCGGGGGCGCATACAGGGCTGCAGCCCCAGATGCCTGCGCGGGGGACTCTCCTGGCGGCGACGGAGCTCCAACAACCGGGCGGAACTCCGGAGGGCGAGGCCACTGCGGGACGCGTGCACGAAGCCCCCTGGCTCGGGCCCGAGACCCCAGTCCCGTGATCCCAAGTCCTCAGGAAAACGAACTGGCAGGACGAGCAGGAACAGAAAGGACGGCGTCGGGGGCGCAGAGGTTAGGTAGCACCCACACGTGCTCCTGGAACCAGGAAGTGAAGGGTCGCGCGGGACACCTGGCGGCGCGGGGCCGGGCCAGGGCGGAAGCCGGGTTCCTGTTCACGCGGTCACTCGGGGCCAGCCAGCTCCCCGACGCCCGCCTTTCCGCAGCCCAGCAAGGACGGGGCCGTGCTGGCGGGCGGGGCGCAATTCCCGAGTGCCGGGCTCGGACGGACACCCCGTCTGTGCACCCACAACGCCGCCTGACCTCATCGCCCAACAATGCCCGGGCAGCGCTGGGGGACAGGACCTGACAGCACGGGGCGGGGCACAGCAGTCATCGGACCCTTGCGTCCCAGCCCTGGATCCGCCAGGTCACAGGAGCAAGTCCCAGGCACGGGCTTCTGGCTTCCTGGAGACCGCGCACATGCCCCCTTCCCGCGCCCCGATCCTCCCTCCGGCTCACCGTACGCGCTGGCCGAAGACGGGCGCACTCACAACGGGGGCTGCAGCGGCGAGTGCTGCGCCTGGGCCCGGCCGGGGGTTTTCAGCAGGCTCCCGCCTCAGACGGGGCGGACCGGGGGCGGGGCAAGGGCCGAGAGGGTTTAAAGGCGCCGCTGCGCAGCCGCGGACGACCATACCTGAGAGAGACCGTGGGTCCGACCCTGGGTAAAAGGGTCTGGGGCGTCTGGACCTGCGCCGGCAATGGCTGTGGTCTCCACCCTTGAGCACCTCGCCCTTCACCCAGATCCCCAACACTTGTGCCCAAGGGTAAACTTTATTGCCTAGAAGGTTAGCTCAGACTACGGACGCGTTTATGTGGGAAGAAGCCTCTTGCTTTCAAAAGGGTGGTTAGGTAAATGCGGGCGCAGGAAGACACGACTAGGGTGTGCTAGGACTGGGGCTTGCAGGCCTGGGCAGACGCACACGTTGTCTTGCTCACCACCTACTTCAAGCCTGGGCAGGAATGGCCCCTGAGGTCATTCCTGGCCTGGGGCCCAAGGGGGCGTGATCAGTGTCGAGACCTAGAGTTAGGATCCGACTTCTTTCCCCTTTGTCTCCTCCTCTGTGACCTGGCCTGGCATCTCAGGCCTGGAGGGATCAGAAGAGGAGGCCTCAGTGGAGGAGGTGCTGGCAGTCCTCTCTCCGAGGGTGGAGGGGAGTGTGGTGTAGGGGTTGGAGGGACCCCCTTTCAGGCTTCAGTTGAGCGGTCTCCTGGGGTGCAGTTCTTCGGTTTGGCCAAAGCCCCAGCGTAGCCCGGTTTTCAAGGACCTAAACCACCTTTCCATTCTCTCCCCCTAGGCCTCGGAGTGATTCCCTTGGGGGCCAAGCGTTTCCACTGTCTGTGCCTTTAGGTAGGCTGTTCCTCTGCCTGGGGTGCTTCCCTCCTGTCACTTCTGGCCTGCTCTTCCACTTACTCACTATATCACTTTTGGGCAAATTAATAAAAGCCTCTGTACTTTAGTTCCCTAGTCTATAAAATAGAACTAATAGTACAATAGGGTGGTAGAGAATTAAATGATACCTTTAAAGCACTTAAGAGCAGCAGCTGGCACATGGTGGGTGCTCAGCTGTTAGCAATTACCATTTTCCCTCCATTTCCCCCATATGTAGCATTGTCCTAGCACACACCGTAAGAATCAGTTTGCTGACTCTTTCCTTAGTGCTCCCATAACAACCAAGTAACAGTTTTATCACAGAACTTATCACATCACCCTGTAACTATTTCTTTCCTTGCCTGCTTCACTGACTAGAAAGAACTCCCTGAGGGCAAAGGCATGTCTTAGTGAACTTTGTGTTTTCTCAGCGTCTCTAGCTGAAGGGCTGTTCTTCAGTAGCTGACTTCAGCAGGCACTCAATAAGTGCTTTTTGAATAGATGGGAAAGGTGCCTCTATTCATTCCGTTAGAGTTCCCTCTTTTTAAGGGTTCAGTAATTTTCCTCTCTCCCTCTCACATTCAAAGCCAGAGGACACACAGAAACATTTTTCAGACTTTCTTTATTCACCTGTAAAAAACCTCACCCACACCACAAACACCACCACCACCACCACCGCTGCCACCACCGCTACACACACACACACGCACGCACACACAAGCAGGCAGACCTGAGATCGCTGTTCCAGTCCCAGACTCCAGGGCCTCAGCACATATGTCCGTTCCACACCAAGCCCACCCAGACCCACCATCACGGTCTGTGCCTGGGTACCCAAAGGGCAGGGACAGTGTCCCAGGCTGGAGCTAGGTCATGTTGGGGCCTCCTCTGCAGAATCATGTGCCTTCACCAGCCTCATAGTAGGGGCATTCACAGCAGAGTGGCCTGTTCAGGGTGGGGGGCTGGCTGTCGATACACTGGTAGCCGGGACCTAGTGGCATCTCGGCGACGGCGGAAGGCCAGGAATTCCTCCCGAAGGGCAGCACAGCGGGCCTCAGGGCCAGGAGCACGGGTAGTGTTGAGGAGGCAGCCCTCCTCTGGAGTCTTTGCATCTGCAAGACAAAGGCAGAGCAGTGGAAGGAGGAAGTGTTGAGGTTCCCTGGTACCAAGTATTTCTCTAGGGGCAGCCAGTGCAGACGAACAGAGGGAGCCTGCGCACAGGCCTGACTGGGAACAGTCCGGGTCTGAGGCTATGGGGGATGTGGGACAGTGAGGCCAGGAGTGCCTGCCTTTGGGGAGGGTTCACTCACCCAGCAATGGCTCAGCTTCCGGTTGGGGCCTAGAGCCTGCCAAGCCCAGGTGCAGAGTCTCCAGCAATTCCATGTCCCCAGGGAATTCGGAGTCCCATTCATAGTTCTCATCTACAGATGTGTTCCTCCTATGGAAAGGAAAAATGTGTGGTGTGGGTGGAATAGAAAAGCCTAAACCCAAGGCTCCCAAACTGGGTTGGGCCATGGGTTTCCCCTGAAGATCCCTGGACCTCAGCAAAGCTTATAAAATGACACAAGGTCTCCAGGGTGGCAGTGGAGCCAAGAAGGCAGAAGGTATTACAAGGGTGGGGAGAAAGTCCAAGACGGTAGGCAAGACTGGGGCCAGGGCAGAGATCTGCAGGGACCACCCTCACCTCTTGCTGACTGTCACCACATGCTCCCTTCGAGGCCACCTCTCAGGGCCACTGGCCCAGCTGCTGGTGTCCCCTGGAGCAGGGCTGAGGTAGCTGCCTCCTGCAGAGGGGGCTGTGGAGGGGGGCCGGAGGAATGAGGCACTGCCCCGCCCACTGCTCTGGCTTGTGAGGCTGCCCCGAGGGGCAGGAGGAAGAAGGCTTGGCAGGAGCCGCTCCCTCAGTGTCCAGTCAGCCAGTGCTGTGTCCAGGGGCTCTGGGGCGGCCCCAGCCCTGGCCCCAGGAAGCACTGCCCTAGTAGACACAGAAGGGGAGTCCAGGGGGAGAAGGAAAGATGACGTGGGCCGCGTATCCATGTAATCTGGGGGAGGAACAGGCCTGGGCTCCTGGAAAGGGGGCCAGTCCCCATCCACATTCATCTCCCGGAAGAAGGGCAGGCTCAGGTACTGGATCAGGGGTGCTGGTCCTGGCAGAGGGTTGCACGGAGCTGCGGGAGGGGGCCCCACAGGGCTGATGTCTGCAATGCGGAGGGGTTGGGGCATCCCGCTGGGGCTACTACTGCAGCAGTCACAGGGCCCCGCTTGACGCCCGGCCGGGGTCCGAGGTGCGGCTGGCTCAGGGCCTGACTTTCCTTGAGGGGTCCCCATCACAAAGCGCCCATCTGGCCCCCGGCAAATGGGCTCCAGGGGCAAGGGCCCCCGGCTAGATGGAGGATCTGGAGGGGGGCTGGGGGGCCCAGCAGGCTCTCCCCAGAGCAGACTGTGGCGCAGGCTGGGGACTGGGGAGCCCTGGAGCTTCAGCTTCGCCACGCTGTCAGGACTGTCTGAGCCAGGAGCAGAGCTGGAGAAGGACAGGAGATCAGAGTCTGTGGTAGGGGGCCAGTCCCCCTCCCAGGAACCAGCGTCAGGCCTGGAGAGGTTTGGTGCACAACAGGGCAGGGCTAGGGAGAGGTAGTGAGAAAAGGACCCACATGGTGGACAGGTAACGGGAAGGTGCGGCCAGCATTGAACCGCCCCAAGGCCGGGGCCTCTGCACTCCCGTCCTCACCTCCGTCTCACTTCTGTACCCCCACCCACCTCCCCAGGATGCAGAGAAGGGAGCAGTGACCCACCATCCCCGTCTGAGCCTCCCCGACAGTGGGAAGGCAGAAGACAGGCCAGGTGGTAGAGGGCCTTACTGTGGAGCTGACTTCCCCGGCGGAGAGAAGGTAAGGGGTGGATCTGTGTGGGCAGGAGAACCAGAGGTGACAAGACTCTCTAGGACCCCAGGCACAGACCCTCCTCCCGACACCTGGCGCCCCACGCCGTCGGGCTGGGAACAGTGCAGGTCGCCCGACCCGAGGCAGAGTCGCGGGCGGGAGGAATGCACCTGGCCCGGGAGGGAGGGGCGTTCCCCCGGTGGGCGGGGCCTCGGCGGCCTACCTTGGCGGAGGCGCTTGCGGCGGCGGCGGGTGGCCCTGCGCCGGTTCGTGAGGCAGGCGGCCAGGACGCTCACGAGCACAGCCACGCCCAGGAAGCAGACCCCGCCCACCACGCCGGCCAGCACGGGCTGGGGCAGGAGGCCCGGCAGCTGCGTGCGTGAGGGGTAGACCTCCAGGCCTGGGCGAGGGGCCGCGAGAGAGGGTCGGTGTCCGAGGTTTGGTGGGCCAGAGCCCCCCAGTCCCCAGGCACTGCCCTCCGCCAGGTTCTTACCGGAAGTGGAGACGTTGGCCACGTTGCTGGGATCGCTGACATAGCTCCCGGCGAGGGCCACCAGGCGAAACTCGTAGAGAACATCCTGGGGGGCGGGGGCCCAGGAAGGGGTTCAGGGCCCAGCACAGCCCACCCCAGCCCTATTCGGACACTGCAGTTGGGAGGTCTGGGTGAAATGGGAAGCTGGGAAAATTGTGAAATCAGGTGAGAGGCTCTGGGTTAGGGGAAGGAGCTGCGGCCTGGAGGGCAGCGGGCAGGACGCTCCCACACGTACCTTGATGAGTCCTGGCACCAGCAGCTGCATTTCCGTGCCTGCCACAGTCCGGTCCAGCACCTCCCAGCCCTGGGGGCCTTGCCGGCCCTCCAGCACATAGCCATCTAATCTCCTAGGGACTAATTCCGGGGGATCCCAATGCAGGAGTACCCCCCGGGGTGTTCTCACTGCCACTAGACCTCGAGGAGGGGAGAGGGGAGGCGGCAGGTCAGTCGGGGGAAGCCTGGGGGCTGCTGGTGTGGTAGGAAGCCCTGTATGGGACAGACAGGCATGATGGAGATAGGATTTCCAGCGCCCTGCCAACCCCCCCAGACTTCCACATTCCCCAAAGCTCACAGCCACTCTCCCAGAGCCTTAAAGACCAGCCTGGATCGTCTCCCACAAACCCCTCTGGACCCCAAGCTGCCCAGCACCTCTGCCCACTCCCACCCAGGTCCTCCCATATCCAGAATTTCCCCACCAGCCCTTCTCCATCCTTGTCTGTCCTCAGGGCAGTGGTCTCTCACCTTCAGGAGCAGACAAGACGATCTCACTGAACGGCCCGCTCCCCAGCCTGTTCTGAGCTAGGACGCTGAACTGGTACTGGGTGTGGGGCTGCAGCCCGGGCACTAGGAGGTGAGCAGCCCCAACGGGTACCACCAGGGACACCCAGTCATGGTGAGCTCGGTCAGGCTGCTTGGCTCTGGAGGACAGGAGGAAGTGGGGGCACCTCACGAACAGGGAAGACCAGAAAGAGTTCAAGTCCAGAGATCTGACCTCTTCCCTCCCCCTCAACCATCCAGGGTCTCAGGACCTGGATCCTGAGTGCTTGAGATTCTCTGGAAACAGGGCAGCGCTGGGACGGAGGGATGGGAGAAGGGGCAGAGGGCTGGAAAGAATCAGCGTGGGGAGCAGGGGCAGGTCACTCACAAGGGGGTATACCAGACACTGAATCTCTGCAGGTAGCCACCATCAAAGCCAGGCTCCCAGGAGACATTGGCACCCTTGGGCAAAGGCACCACAGACACATTGGTGACTCCATGGGGGCTGGTGCCTGGGAGGGGAGGGATGGAGGGAGGAATGATGGGCAGGGCCCTGGGGGAAGGTGAAGAGCTAAAGGGAGTCCCAGGGCCTCTACCATCCACCTATCGTCCCAGGGTCTCCCACCCACCATCCCCATCTGGGCCTCCAAATATTCCCCGTGTCCTGTCCCACACGGCTTCCTCCAGTCCCCAGCTGGCTCTCGAGCCACTAACCCAGCACATAGAGATTTGTGGAGGTGGCTACTTGGGCCACAGCGTTGCTGGCAGTGCACTCCCAGCGCCCGTGGGCCTCCTTCGTCAGTGGTCGCAGGACGAGGCTCCTGTTGCTGTCCACCTGGGCCTGGCCCTGCAGCCCCCGGCCCACCTACAGAACCACTGGTCAGCCCTGAGGACACACGCAGCCACCCCTCATCAAGGACGCCACTCATCTCTCTGGGCAGCTCCAGTGTCCTCCCCACCCTGCCTGACAGCCCCCTCCTTCCCATAGAGGCACCAGGGGCAGAGAGGGAGAGGCGGGGGATAGCGGGCATGAATACAGAAAGAGTGGGGTCAGGGGCCTTACCTTGGCCCAAGAGATAGTAGGAGGAGGGTCTCCTCGGGCAGAGCAGGGGATGAGTAGCTCCCGCCCTACTTCTTGGAAATACTCTTCCTTGGGCCGCTCTAGAAAAGCTGGGGGAGCCTGCAAGCCAGTTCTGGCATTGGGAGGGGCCTCTCTCACACTGCCACCTACGGGTTGTTAGTTCCCCAGGCTGGGCTCCGTGTCAAACCACACCTCGGTCTGCACCTCACTGCCTCCTAGCTCTGCCGCTGACCCCAGCAGGACTGCTGGAGGGAAATGGGGGCCTCTCTGGAGATGTACAAACCTCTGCAGACACCCTTTCACCCTCTCTTTTCCTTCCTGCCCTCTTTTCCCCCAGACAGAGGCAGCACGGTGGGTATCTTACTCTGTGGATGTGGTGTGTGCCTCAGGTCCCACCTCCCAGCACCATCTCTGCAAAAACCTGTGGGATGGGGTCTGACAGCCGCTGCTGTGGCCACCATGGGAAACTCCGACTTGGAAGTCACTCCCTGCATGTGACTGCCCACACCCCTCCATCAGCCTGGTGTCACCACCAGGGTCTGCACCTTCAGCCATCTGACCCACCGCTGCTGGCCCACCCAGAGCCTCACCTTGAGCAGCACACGGGTCACCGGGGAGGGCCCTGCCGTACCCAGACTGTTGTAGGGGGTGCAGGAATATTCTCCCAGGACATCCTCATTCCCCAGGGCAATGATCAGTGAGCCGTCTGGGCCCTGGGACCAGCCGGGGAACTGGAAGGAAGAGGACAAGACAGCTAGAGAAACAGACTTGGCAAAGGAATGGATTGGGGTGGGAGATCGGAGAAGGGCAACGCAGGGAGGGGTGGGTCCGAGAAACCCACATCCATGCAGAGGACTCCAGGCCCGGCAGCTCTCTCAATGCCAGCCCTGCTTTCCTTTCAGGCATAGAGAAGCCCCTACCGAGGGGTGTGAAGGCCAGGGCTGCACAACTCCAGGGGCCGCTCACCAGCAGCACAGGGTGGACAGTGCCCCCAGGGTTGAGCTGTGTGGGGCTCCCCACCTGTGACCCAGCCTGGCTGTCTTCCCAGACTCCATGATGAAATCCAGCATCTCCCACCCCAAATCCATTCCTTTTCCTGGCTTCCTATGTCTAGGTTACAGGCCCCACGGTCTCGCCAACAGTTGACTCCTCCCTGTTCCTCGGTCCCCACCTAAATCCCTACCAGTTCTGTCTTCCCGGGGGCGGGGGGGCCTTTTGTCCAGGTGGGAGGCCATAACTCAGCCGGGCCAGCTCGGGTCCTAAGTCAGGCCTCACGGCCTCACGCCTGGGCCACTCCAGCAGCCTCTGAAGCCCTCTCCCCGTCAGCCTCTCCCCCTCCATTCCATCCGACAAGCTCAGCTCCTGCTCCCGCTCTGACGCTATCACACCATTGCTCAAACAGCTTCACTGGCTTCACTGCCTGGAGACTTTTTTTTTTACTATTCAACAAAAATGTATTGAGTCCTACTATTGCAGAAGCCCTGGGGACACTAGGATGAAAAGATGCAATACTAGCTCACAAGGAATTTATAGTCTTTACAGACAAAAGATCCCAATCACACTGGAATAAAGGCACCAGTAACGTGACAGCCACCGTTCTTCATTTTAGCCCCAACCTCTCTTTCCAGCTTTCTCTGCACCATGCATGTCCCCATGGACACTGTGACTCCCACCAGCCTGGACAGTTCATTATGCTGTAAACTATAGTTTTCTGCCTCTGGGTCTGGTTTCTGCATGGAATGTTCTATCCACCCTTCAAGGCCCTTCTAAGTCCCTAAGTCCCTAAGCTGCTGTCACTTCAGTCCCAGAAGTTGTTGCTGATCTATCTTCACCCAGTCCTAGGAGGACCTTATTCCACCCCTGGCTTTCCAGAAGAGTATCCGTGTTGCTGTCCTACCCCATCTAGGCTGTGCCCTCCTGAAGGATGGGTGTCTCTGTCCTATAGCCCGAAACACCCCAAACAGCACCTAATAAGAAGTGTATGTGCCCCAGGCACTGAACTAAATCAAACTGAGCTAACTCCACTTGTCCTGACTAGAATGACACCAAGCTAACTAAGGCCTTCCTTCCCCCTCCCCAAGCCTGTACCTTGTCCAGCTGTAGAGCCTGCCCATCCTTGGTCCAGCTGACAAAGAGCAGTGGAGGGTTGGCACGGACTGGGCACCGGATCACCCCCCGCATGCCGATAGGCAGGGGTGTCTCAGGAGGCATCGTGGTCACCTGGGCTGGGTCTGGGAGAAAGCAGGGGCGGGCTGTGGGGCAGGATGGCCTGGCCCAGACGAGGGGAGCAAGCTGGGGAGGCAGCTGGGGTCAGGCTTACAGAGCACAGTGAGGTAGGCAGAGGCCGAGGGTGGGTGCAGGAGGCCGTTGCTGGGCACACAGGTGTAGCGACCAGCATCGTCAGGCTGGGCGGCCCGGAGCCGCAGGCTCCCATCCACCAGGATCCGCACCCGGGCCTGCAGGTGGCTGTGATACACCGTGTGTGGGGAGAGGCACAGGCCTTGTTTAGCCAACAGGCTCCCCAAAGCCTGCCCCCCAGTGCCCACCCTGCCCCACCCCCCAGAGCCCCACCTAACATGGAAGACATTGGCACTGCCCCAGAACCAGCTGTAGGTGAGGTTTGTTGGGTAGGCCTCTGCCTGGCAGGCCAAAGACACATCCTGGAAGGCATTAACCGTGCTGTTCCTGGGGGGCACCACGATGAGCGGGGGGCCTGTGGGAGAGCACGGAGGACAGGGGCCTCAGCCCACATCCTTCCCAGCACCCCGAGGTCACTGCTGCCGTCATGCCCTCTGCCCTCAGAGACAGCGCGGGCTCTCCCAGGGCCTTGGGGAACTGAAACAGGCCCTTACAAAGCTTCCTACTGTCCCCCAGACCAGCTCCCCCTCCCAGATTCTCCCCATTCCATCAGGGACAACCCCATTCACCCAGTGTCCCCTGCCTGGAAGGTGTGTGTGTGTGTGCGTGTGTGTTGGGGAGATGGAATCACTTTTAACTCTCTGCTCATTCACCCTTTCTGTCCATCTGTCACATCTTAAATGACTCTGTCCCCCTCCCTGATCCTGGTACCCAGCACCTTACCCAAGGTACCGCACCGACTTCCCTGACTCTAGTCTCCCCGATCTCTGTACTCTGATGGCCACTTGGGCAGGAATGTCCCACCCTGGCCACAGAACAGGAGCCCACCACAGCTCCTGGCTCCTGCCACACTGAGCTCAAACCTCTTGGCCCAACCCATCCCTGCCTGGCCAAGGGTCCTTCCAGATGTCAACCCTTACACGCTCTTTCCAGCAGGAGCAGCAGCTCGCCGTGCCCCTGCCAGGCTCACTCCCAGCCCCAGGCCTTTGCTCCTGAGCCCCCAGTCTGGGACACGCTTCCCTCAGTCTGGCCAAGCCACACGATCCCTGCAAACCCGCCTCTAAAGCCTGCAGCTCCCCTGCTCCCTCCCCTCTGGGCTCCTACTGCGCCAGCAGCCAGTCAGGCATAAGAGGAATGGTACAAGCTGGCGCGTGGCCCTATAGGCACACGAGGCGCGCAGGCTGCAACACCTCATTTAATTTTCACGAGAGCCTCTTGGGGTGGGAATTACTGTCTCCACGTCACAGATGAAGGCTCAGAGGCAGAGGGACTGTGAGGTGACTTGCCCAAAGTCAGCAGGGAAGACATGATTCATACACAGGCCTTGCAGACACCAGAGACTCACCCTAACCACCACCTGGCACCGCCCTGCTGCCCAGAGAAAAGAGGCTCTCTGAAGGCAGTTCAGGCCTATTTCTCCGCTTTCCTAAAGGGATGGACGTGACCAGTAACTGCTAAGAGCTGATCACTGAGTGCAGCCGAACCTAATTAAACTCTGTACCAGTCCCCACAGGTGTATACGAATGCCGTTATGTACAGGTGAGGAAACTGGGGGTTGGGGGCTGTGCAGCTCATCCCTAACACCAGCAGCCACGTCCTTTCCACCCACTGCTGGGCACTAATATCTATTTCACTGATCCTTTTAAAATTAAGATGCAGGTTTACAACAACAGCCTGTGTTGGGAGCTTTCTCTCTCTCCACCGCCCAGCGCTCGGGAACAAGCCCCCTCCCACTCCTGCTGTGTGCGCCCCAGCCACAGGCCACAGCCCCCTCATATCGGTGTCCCGGTTCCCGGGCCTCCCCGCAGAGAGCACCTAGCACCAGCAGCTGGGTGGCGTGGGTGGCGCTGCCCTCAGTGCTGGAGGCTTGGCAGGTGTAGACCCCGGAGCTTCCCCGCACGGCCCGCCGGATCCACAGCGTCCCGTTCCGCACCTAGGGGAGGAGTCAGTGAGGGACGCAGGCCCTGCACTTCCGAGGCTGGCCAGCAGAGGGAGGCAGCGCCCCAGGCTCAGGAAGCCCACGAAAAGCCCCGCTCAGGGCCACCTCTCAGCCTGCCTTCGCATCCCCGTCCTCCAGCCCCGCTCTCAGGCCTCCACCGGCCCCTCACTGTCTATTTGGTCCACCCTGCCCAGCCCCAGGACTCACTTGCACCTGACCCTGGCCCTGGCCAAGGTCCTGTCCTCGGAGCTTCCAAGTCACATGAGGCTGTGGGCTGCCACGGGCCACACAACGCAGGGTCACGGGCTCCAGTTCCTGAACTTCCAGCACCTGGGGAGGTGTCTGCAGGAACTGAGGGGGTGCTGCAGAGAGAGAGGCATCAGCGGCTGCCAGAGGGGCTGTCAGGCCAAAGAGCACAGATGGGGAGACAGATCGGGGCTGCAGCCCTCAGCCCAGCCACCCGTCCGCCTACATAGGCATCCCCAGCCCAGGGTCACCCTGCCTCCTGCACCCAGAGCCAAGACTGCACCAGTCCCTCCCCACACTGGCCTGCAGAGTAGGTGACCACAGGCTGGGAGCTTAGAGCTGGGGGAGGGCTAGTGGCCTCTGGAGTCAGGAGGCCTGGGTTTTAGATGCTGCACTGCCCCTAATCCGTGGCATGAGCCAGTGTCCTCATCTGTGAAATGGGAATTATTATGACCTCCTTCCTTCTCGGGGTTCAGAGAGAATTCATGAGGTACTAGATCAAAGGTGTTTTGCAAAAACAAGATGCTGCATATACACGAGCTATGAATCACTCAGGGCCCGACAGCCTCCCACCGCCCGGATCAGGGATGCAGGAGCAGCAAGAGAAAGGAAGAAGTTCCGAACACAGAGCCTCGGCGGCCAATTAGATTTAGATTTCAAGAACGAACAGGGCAGGAGTGGGGGTGGGAGGCGTAAAATGCAAACAGTGAGCGAAGGACCGAGGGTGTCAGCAAGGGTGGGCCATCAAACGGCCCCTTCTCCCTCCCCCCAGCCACAGGTCCCCATCATGCTGCGCCCCTCCCTTCACCACCTGCTCCCGGCTTCGTACAATTGACTGTGAGGTGCACCCAGGAGCCATTAGCAGAATCGTCTTCGGGGCTGTGCTGGTCCAGGAAGAGTACTCGGCACTCATACCAGCCCTGGTCTTCCGCTCGGAGCCCCTCGATCTGGAGAGATGCCCCCTTCTGCAGCCGGACTCGCCCTGGGAGAGGAACCCTGAATCAAGGGTGCTGAAGGGACCCCTGGCCACAGCAGTTCTTCTCAGAGGTCAAGAAGAGGCTCATTCTCTCCCAGCTACCTGACAGAGTGGGGTCCAAACAGGCACAGATGGGGTTGGGGTCACCGAGGGCAGATCCCTCTGTTCAGCCCTCTGATTGCTCCTGCCTCCCGCAGCTGGGACCAGTTCAGACAAAAGGAAGCCCAGAGCAGCAGAAGGGGGACAAGACGCCTCCCTGAGCCACACCCCACTTCCAGGGCTGTTGGGGGGGTGCTCTTTGTGTAGCAACAGAGTACTCCTCTGCCAGACGACTGTCCCTGGAGACCTCAGCAGTGTCTGGGGCCTGAGCAGGGACCCAGAACTCCCCTCCCAAAGCTCCTAATCCCTCAGGGCTATTATCAACAGCCTAAGAGCTTTAGCATGGCGAGAGCCCAGCCCGGGCAGGCAGCAAGGTCAGCAGCCTTCACGCCATCTCCTCGTGGCCCAGGGCACCCAGGCCCGGCTGCCTGACCACAGCAGGCTCCACAAAAACACCAGCCACACCACCACACTCCGCCACCAGGCTCAGACTGAGGGTGCCCCCAAATCCCTCGACACCCAACCCCCGTGAAGCCATGCACCCCAGGCAGCTCTGAGGAGCCCCAGCAGAGCAGCCTAGAGAGGAAGGCACTTGGGAGTCGAGACCTAGAGTCCAGCTCTGCTGTGCACTCCTCCGGGCAAGTCACTGAATGTCTCCCTCATCTATAGTTTCCTCAGCTGTAAAATGAGAGAGAAGAAAAAGCATGTGGCTGGGGCAGAGGGGCCGGGGAAGGTAGGGAAGACGGGCAGCAGGGTGCCTGGCATCAGCGGGTGCTCAGAGGGCCGAACAAATGAATGAGCTCGGGATTGGACATCAGAAGGCTGCATGTGATCTTGGCCCTGTCCCTGCCTGATAACATCACCTCCCTTTTCTCCCCCTGCATCAGTGAATAGTAGCGCCATGCATGCGCCTAGTTATCCTACCAGAAGCCTGGTGTCACCCTAGATTCCTCTCTCCTTTACCTCCTACATCGACCTGTTCAGAAAACCTTTGAAATTCCACCCCCTAAATATTTTTTCCTTCTCTACATCTGCACCTTAGTTCAGTCCTGTAACAGCCCTCACCCGAGTCACTCCCACAGCCCACTAAGAATTCTCCCTGCCTCCAGCCTACCTCCCTCTGCATTTACCAGCTGCCCGCCCCACCTTGACCTTTGACAAATGACATTTTCTAAGTCCTTGGGGTTATGCAGAACAACGGCAGCTGTAAAGATCCCTTAGCATGGTGCCCACTCCAACCATCCAGACTGTGCCCCTCATGAGCTCTTCCTAATTCTGGAGCTGTTCGTGCACTCACATCTTCAGTGCTCCCCTTCCACCTTTAGGATGACCTCTCTGAAATAGAGCCTAAGCATCCAGGGCCCAGTGCTGCAGGGAATAAGAGGAGACCGGTCAGGCTGAGGCCGGCTTTGTGATGTAGCCAAGTGACTCTTTTCCTTCCAATGAGGTCCAGGGGTGTGGAATCTCCAGGACGGGTGGACCTGCTTAAGGGCTAGGTGTTTAAATCCCCACCTAGAAGATAAGCCCTGGCCCTGCAGGTAAATATTTAACATAGTCACACCCCTCCACCCACCATCGGATTCCTCAGTAACCCTATCTGCCTGGCCCCTGCGAGCTGGCTGACCCAGACTGCAGTCTCTTCTAAGTCCCGTATGATGAATAGTTGCTTTTCATTATGGTGATCTTCAAGCTCCACAAAAGGAGCAGGAGGACAGGGAGACTGAGGGTTGGCTATGGACTATGTAATATTAGGCACTGTCACCATATTGAATCCTCCCCGAAATTCCATTATAGAGGAAGGAACTGACGAATTAAACTTCTTTCCAAAATCACATGGTTAGTAAGCAACAAAGCCTGGCCTTCTTTCTCCAGGTGCTGTGACTTCCCATCGCACGCTGCTCTTTGGATCAAGAGATGTTCAAGGCACTCAGCCCTGAGCATATTCAGGGCGCTGTCCCCTTGAGGGAGGCTGGTAGCCAATGGGTGACAGTTCCAAATGATTGCTGATCAGAACATCCGATGAAGCACACGGTAGGTCCTAACTTTTCCGTAAGATACGGCCTGCTAGACCTGTACTGCACAGCGGAACAGGAAGACAGCCAGGGGCAGTCAGTACTAAGTCCTCCTGAATCCTGAGCCCACCTCCGGGAGGCCCTCTCTCTGCCTGCTGGGCCACAGCCTGATGGACTTCAGACTTCTCTGTGTGCAGGGGCGTATAAAGGAAGCAGGAGACACACACTCCGCTCTCAAGCTCTCGGAAGACAGGGGACTCACACTCATATACGTGTACAAGTTCACATACACACGGTTCAAGAAATGGTGCTAACTGTGCCCAGATATTCCAACAGATTGTGAAGCAAGAGGAATACAGAAGACTTCCAGGAAGCCATGAGTATACAGAGGGTTTTGAAGGATAAAGGCAGTAAGGGGAGACGACTAGAGGGAACAGGGGCATTTGAAATGAAGGAGAGAACTAACTGATCTCTATCAAACAGCTCAGGTCGGAGAGAAAACTCATGTCCCTTCAGCTATACGGGATTCCTTGAAACTCCCAGGAAAGACAGCCCAAGAGCCACACCAAAAGCCGGTCCCCGTGGATGAGAAGAGGTGGTCTAAGATTCACCCCAGGAAAGCTGGGGTAAAGCTCAGCCTCCTTTCGTCGGGGCCCCGGTTCCACTGCAGGCACTCTGCAGGCACTATATGTACAGGGGCTGACTTAATCCTAGGATTTGGTCCTAGCTTAGTTTGTACTGCTTTTTACTACTTTTGCACTATAAATCCAGTGTATATCTAAATCTAGTCTATAAATCCAGTCTCCTCTGCTAGGCTCCTTCTAGATGCGAGTCCTCGGAGACTGGAAGCTTCCCTCTGGTCATCCCTAAAGCTGCCCATGGTCTCTCTCGTGGTCCCTCCCACTTCCTAGGCCACCGGGCTCACTCACAGGCCCAGGCCATCTCCCCTTCGCTTGCCCAGAGGGTTTATGACAGGACGGCATTGTCTTTAGCAACATCCATCTTCTGCTGCCTAGCAACTGCAGTTCAGAGTCCCTACACAAAGGCTGAGAGGCCCCTTCCACACTGGGAGTCAGGAAAAGGGTTAATGGGTGCAGGGACCTCCCCCCAGGGCCCTGACTCCCCAGACTAGCCCTGGGCAGACCAGGCTCCAGACAGGCGGTGGGGCTGTGTACAAAGGGAGGGCTAGGAAGAAAGCCCCAGGGTGACTGCTCGGCCCTTTGAGCTCAAAGGAGCAACACGGAGGCAGAAGGAAAACCCACAGGTGGCCAAGTGGCTGGCTGTCCAGAGGCTTGTCTGCCTGAGGACCTCAAGGCAGGGCAGCCAGCAGAGGGAAGGGGTTCTGCCTGTGCCTGGGGGAAGCTCAGGAAAAGTCCTCTCTGCTCCTCCACCTCGCCTGCCCTGCCCTGGGCAGATAGCAACCTTTCTGCACCTGCCCAGCCTCAGCCCCGCAGCCCAAACCCTCCCCCAGAGGGCAGCAGGTGGTGGCAGGGAGGAGGCTCATGGGCACAGCCCATTTTTCCTCCACTTGTCCTGGTTGGGGGCCGCCTTCATCAATTCTCAACAGACCTGTGTAGACACAGGAGCTCCCTCCAGGCTGTGTGCCAACAACTGTCCCCGGTTTGAAAATAAACTCTCCCCTCGGGCAGCACCTGCCTGAGCCCCTCCCGCTTCGCTCAGTCTGCCTGCCCGAGAGCCCAGCCAATCCCAGGGCTTCTCCTAGGATTCAAACTAAAGAGGGAGAAGATGGGGCCCACTCTCTTCATCACAGTCTTCCTGGGTGGCCTTTTCCTGCTCTCCCTCTGAGGAGGAGGCACCAAGACTGCCAGCCGGCAGCTCCGGACCCCACCTGGGGACCTCCCGCGCACTGCTGTCGGAGACTGGCACTAAACCGCTCAGATTAGGGCTCCATCTGCGATTAGGAGGAAGCTGAGCCTGCCAGGGAGCCAGCTGGGTTGCAGAAGCTCCCCAGGGAGGCCTCCACACTGTTTTAAGGCCCTACGGGGGGCCACCTGAAGCAGGAGCCTCGCACAGCCCCATCCATTCCCTGATCAGCGAACACGGCCCTCAGCAGCTCACCCTCTCTGTGCACACTCTTCTGTACTCAGAATCAGGCTGAGCCCCCACGGTAGAGGCACACAGGTCACAGACCCTCCCTCCCCTCCCTGCGGCCCCATCAGCTCACTCCCTAGAAGCCTAGAACCCCCGAACTAGCATTTAAGGCAGTGGGGGGAGCGGAGGGCAGAGGTGTGAGCAGAAAGGATTGAGACTTAGGGAAAGACCAGGACGGGGTTGGGGAGGCTTCCCCTGAGGCCTAGAAAGAGCAATTAGAGAATTGGGACGGATTCTTGGGATAGGGCTGCAGGGTCTCCTCCAGAGCAGACCTCCAGGGGTTCTAAAGAGCACAACTCTACCGTGCATGTATGAGTGAATCCTTCCCTGAATTAACGCTGCTTGGGAGCAAAGCCACACTTGTTCAGCAGGGGTGAGGCCATGGAGCTGGAGATGAGGATGGCAGGGACAGAGCAGTTAAGAAGAGGCCTTGTCCCTACCCGACCCAGCCCCCCTATGTTGGTGCACCCCCCAAGCTCCCACCTGAGGACAAGTCTTACCTGCAAAACCAGGGTCGACTCGGGGAGTGTAGAGGCCAAACTGGATGAAGATGGGGAGCAGGAATCCAAAGCGCAGCCACTCGATGACGTGCAGGGGGGGCCGGCCAGCCGGAGGCAGCAGGTCACAGCCCAGCACCGCACTCTCCCCAGCCCGGCCCACCACCGACACGGCCTCAGGCTTCCCTCGACCTGCACAGAGGGTACATGAGGGCACAGCACGTTCCTGAGTCGGGGCTGGAGGGAGGTTCCGCCAGTCCCTCTGTGAAGTGTCCGGGAATCCTCACTTCTCCAGAACCCGCCCTCTTCCTGCCCTTCCCTTACACGCTCACAGGAACCCTCCTGGGGAGCACCCTCCATCCCCAAGGGAGTCCAGCTCACCGTCAGCCCCCCGGCTGATGATCAGGCTGAGGATGGCCAGACTGAGGCACCAAACCATAGCCCAGCTGCCCGCTCGCCCGGCCCCTCCTGTCCACAGGGGCCCAGATGGAGGGGCCTGGGATGTGCGGAGGCCGGCGAGCCCCGTCAATCCTGATCAGGTGACAGTCTCAGCTCTCACTCTTGTGGGCAGTTAGGGCTTGGCTCACGTAACGCCTGACGAAGCCGTTGTGGAGCACCACCAGACCTAAATGTAAAATGCGGGTAACATGCAGAGGTGGCCGGCACTGGATACCGGAAGGAACCCCACAGTTAGAGAAAAGCCAGCAGGAGCCAGGCGGAGAGCAAAGGAAGAGAGAAGAGAGCACAGAGACCAGAGACCTTGATGTCCTGCGGAATTAGGGCCGGGGTGGGGGCACCGGCAGGACAAGAGTGTGCCGGGGAGGGCGGGGGCACAGGTGAGGATGTGGGGGGTTGGCAGAGCAGCTGAAAGATCTTAGGGAAAGGAAAGGCGTTCTGGGGAAACCTGGGTTACTAAGGTTCTCAGAAAGCTGGGCCAGGAGGGCACTGGGGTTCCTGGCCACTCGGAAAGAGACTGGTCAGGGAAGCCTAGGGATGAAGAGCCCCTTCCCCCGGCCTCCTCTCCCTTCTCTTTCCTCAGTCCTGATGCTACCTACAAGGCAGCAGATAGCAAGGTGGGACCAGCATTATCACCTCCACCCCACCGCGACAAGTAAGGCCCTTAGGATCTCAGAGAGTCCAGCTCAGGGGCACTTGATTGCCACAGTCAAGGGCAATCCCTGGAAAAGAAGCCCAGAAAGTGAGCCCAAAGACAGCCACACACAATTCCTTGCCCCAATTCCCCAACCTCTGTGAACCCTGTACCTCTTTCTCCACTCAGCCTCTCAACACCGCCTTAGCAGGGGTGAGTCAGGCACTTGGGATGGAGGGAGCTGCCTCCCCCACCTACTGGCATGGGAGGGCCCAGGCAGCATCCTCCAGGCCTGGGCAAGCCCCGGGGCGGGCAGCGGGCACCACTGCCTTCTCCTGATGCTGCCAGGCAGGCCTCCCTTTGCCAGATACCGGGACCCAAGTGCCCCACTCTCTCCCCTCCGGTACCCTCGGGCCCCAGGGTTTGCCAGGCTCTCCCCTCCCCAACCCTAGGGGCATGGTCCACAGCCAAAACAGCCTTCCGTCCCTCGGGTATAGGAACGGACAGCCCCAGCCCCAGAGCACCTAGAGGTAGTCGCAGGGGACTAGGGTGGGGGGTGGGGGTGCTGTCTTGGGTGGGCAAATCCAAGTGGCCTCTGCCCAGGGGCCCCCACCCCACTCTAGCCTCATGGTTGGGACCTAGCTGTAAAATGTCCCCCATGTCTCGGCCTGATCCCACTTCCTCTTAAAGGCCAGGTATGTCCCGACAGCACCCCAGTAAACACCCGCCTTGCTTCCCATTGCCCCCAGCCAGCTGTCGCATGCTTCACTGACAGATCTTTTACCAAGTGGCTAGGAAGCCCCAGTTCCTGGCTAGGAAAACTCCTGGCTCAGCTTTCCGAGAACCTTAGTGCCTGGGTTCCCCCAGGGTTCCTCTGCTTTTCCTAAGATCTTCCAACTGCTCTGCAGAGCCCGCCCCACCCAGCACATGCTCCTCCCGTGCTCCCATTCCAGTCATCCCCCCACTTCTCCCAGGCCTCCCCAACTCCCCTCTTCCCCATCTGGTCTCCCACTGCACCAGGTCCTTTGCACTTCAAGGAACTCCCTTCTGTCTCCTTCAGAACCCCCACACCCCCTCACTTCTCCCGTCCTCTCCCGCCTGGAATTTCCCTCCCCAGAATCCTCCTGCCTCGGCCCACGATGCACTTCTAATACCTCACCTGCAGTTCCCTTCTGCCTCGCCCGCGCTGGACCCCTGGAAGTGCTCCTTGCTTTGGGGACCCACTCCCATCCCCCACAAGCTCCCCCCCAGAACTCCAGTTCTCTGGGAACACCCACCTCCCTCCAAGAATCCCACTTTACTCCCCAGAACTCCCCTAGCTCTTCTCCCCAAGCAATTCCGTTTCTCTCCACAAGTCCCCCGCTTCCTCCTGTCCCCGAACTGCCGCATGGCCCGCCACCCACGCCAGCACCCCCATTCCGTTGCCCCCGGAGCGCCCCCGCCCTCACCTGCTCCGCTCCGCCTGGCTCAGCTCTCCCGGCTACACAATAGGGGGCGGACCCGCCTCCCCGCCTCGGATGCCCCGAGCGCCTCGCGTCGCCCTGGAGACCGCCGGTCCCCCCCCTCCTGCGGCGACCAATCGGAGCACGCCGAGGCGAGGCGAGGCGGGCGCGACCCCCGAGCGGCCTGGGAGATGTAGTTTCGGGAGTGCAGGACTCGCGGGCACGTGGGCTCAGGCCGCCCCCTGGTGGAGCTCAGGACAGCCAAGCGCAAAGAGGCAGGTGGGCCACTTCCCGCCTCCAGCTCGGGGGACTGGCGGGTCCGGGGCGTGCCCCAGGGGTCGCAGGAGCTACCCTCACCGGCTCCTCGCACTGCCTCCTTCGTGCGTAAGCTGCCGTCGACTCTCTCCTGCACCCTGACGGGCTGAAAGCCGCAGAGGCGGCAGCGAGGGCTGAAATCCGAGCCTGGGGGCAGGAGCACCCGGCGGGGAGCAGCTCCGCACCTCCTCCCAGGGGATCCACCCAGCTCTGGGGCTCCTCGGATCTCCTCCCCTATTCCCAGCCCCACCTCCACCCATTTCTTCTCTGGCAGGACTGGAAATACCAGTCTGCGCTGGCGAGTTCCCAAATCCTGCCCAGGCGCCTCCCACAGCGCGCAGAGGGGAGGCTGCGCTTCCAGCCTGAGGTTGCCAAGTCAGCGTCCGCTGCAGCTCCCAGCGCCAGCCACCTAGGGAAGCAGACCCAGAGGGGAGAGAGGGGGCATCCTGACCTGAGAAAGAAAGGGGAGGAGTGAAATAAATGATCATTTATCGAATCCCTGCGGGGTGCCAGACCCTGAACCACATGCTCTGTAACTCTTACTGTAACTGCACAGAAGCCCTGGGAGTAGGTGCAGCTCTGTGTGACTAATGAGAGAGCAGAGGCTCAACCGACGTGAACTGACAGATCCTGCCCCAGACTTCCCATCTTGGGCTCAGACCTCACCCAGACTTCCCCAAACCCACCCCGTTGGAGTTCTCAGACAAAAAGACACCTGTATGTCCTCAGCTCGGTGCCACCTTCAGACTGCAGGGGCTGACACCTTCCCCTCCAGGCTTGGGCATTGCTCCGTCCTGGTCTTGTTCCCATTCAGGAAGCCTCCCCTGTAACCAGCACACTGAGGTCACCCTAGTCTGAACCCTTATAACTCAAACTGAGTGCATCAGGCATTGAGTCATGGCATCATACCCTCACTGTCTCAGAAGAGACCCTGCAGGGCGGGTCTGACCTCTGCCCACACCGGTATCCTGGCCATGTCCTCCCACCAGTGGGTCAGTCAGCCCCATCCGAACACATCCTGGGCCAGGAGGTTCATCACCCCACGTAGTAACCTGTTCCATCTTTGGAGACTCTGACTGCTGGAAAGTTCTTCCAGGTATAACCATCTAGGTGCTTTCAGCCACAGCCTGAGATGGAATCGAGGAGGAGGATGTGGAGGCAGAGGTCAGGCAGGAGCAGTGGCTGGTCTCTCCCGCCATCCCTCCAGCAAATTCTCCCAAAGGGGCGGCTTTCAGCGTTGCTTTACAACCTAGCACACTGACCTAACATTGACAAGGCTATAATGAAGACGAGTTAGTGGACAGAGCATGTAAACAAGGCAGAATGCCCAGAAAAGAGGGCCAAAGAACAAAGCCTGCTTTACACCTCGGCTCCTCACCAACCAGCACCAAAGATCTCCCTCCCCCATGTTAGAATTGCTACACCTCTGGTGCAAAGGTTTCATTTCTGCTGTCTCCAGGGTTTTCTTGAAGATAAGCTGATCACATTTGGCGTTAAATAGCTTTTCATGACCTGGGAATTTAAAGTGGTTTTCAGTTTTTAAAAGTTTACGATATGGTCATTTTTTTTTTCTAGAAGCTTATTTTGTGTGTGTTATTGTCACTGTGCTCTGATTCAGAGGTCACTTGTTGGTTTTCTGGTAAGAAAAGGAACCTGGCCTTCTCACTTGTTCCCTCACCAAACCAAAAGTGAAAGTTGAGAAAAAATAATCCCTGAAGCTCGAAATCAAAGATTTTCCTTTGGGTTCTCCTCCATCCATAATCATTACTCTTTGGGAAAGTTTAAGAACCAACTAGGATTCTGCCCAGCCTAACTATCAGCCAGCCCACCTCTTTTCAACTTGTTGACAAGCAGGCCAGAAAGTGGTGTCACCTCCAGGGACTTTGTGGACTACATGCCCATGAGCAGTGGTCCTACCATCTGATCAGACAAGAAGCCCAGTGTCATCGATTGCCACTTATGCCTTGGCATGCCTCTCCTCTGTCCCAGGGAGACGAGAGCTACGTGACAGTGTGGAGATTGCCTTGTGCATCTTTGGGTTCCCCCACAGCCCTTAGCCTCTCAGAGGGGCCCCGCTGACCTTCCGTCTGGACAGAATGTCCTTCTCTCCCTTCCCTGGACTTCTAGGGCACTGTCCCTGACTCCTCCCTCCACACCCTCACTTTCACCCACAGCCCTTATCACACCTCGTTGTAATTATATCTTTACACACCCTGCAGAGCCCCTTGAGGGCAGACAGTGTCTTTCCTGCCTCTGCAGAGCTAACCCAGTGCCTGAATCTTATAGATGCTTAAAATTACGCCCCCTCCCTGCCCCAGTTCGCTTTCATCTATTTGAAAGGATGAGCAGACTTTGCAAACTGCAGGGTGCTATGGGGTGATTATTATCCTGGCTTCCTGCAGAGGAAGAGACCTGGGCCTCTTGCAGCTTATTAGCCATCTCCTTGAGGGTCTCAGCCTTTCTCTTCCAGGTGCCCAGGCTGTTGGGTACCTCAGCCTTTCTCCACTCAGACCCTGGTTATGAGAAGAGGGACTTTGCCAGATGGCAAGAAGAGCCCTGGGCCATTCATGACAGCACAGGGACCATTCATTCCTTTATTTAGTTTCTTTGCACCTGACTCTGAAATACTTGAAGAACCAGCTGCCCTGTGTGCAATATGGGTTCCAGCGGGCCTCTTCCAGGCAGTCTTCAGAAAGATGTTAAACAAGCCAGAGGAATTGGGAACTGCAGGCTTGGTTCCAGAACTGTAGGTCTTATTGAAGGTGGCACTGCCCGAGCTGGGCAGTGCAGAGAACCACCCTCAGGCCAGGGACTGCCTTCCAGCAGGACAAGGGTTCAGGCTCTCAGGGGGTGGAGTGCATCCACTGCCCCTTTGGGGACTGGTTTTCTGACCTCACCACCTTGTCCCCAAGCCCCAGGGGTCTTCATCTCCTGCACAAGAACCTGGGCAGGAGGCCCCTGCTTCCCCCCTGGCTCTGCTTCCTTTCCAGTCCAGGTGGCCCTGGCATTGGCATCCGGGCATCCCATGCTGCTCAGAGTCCTGCTGGGTTTCCAAGCACCTGGCCCACGGCCTGTTTGCCCAGAAACAGTGCCCTTGAGCTCCAGGATTCCCCAGTACATCCCACTGCCCTAACCAGCCTGCAGATTCCTTGCTGTGGAAGACAATCTGGAGGCCAGCATCCTTCTCCTCACTGAGAGGAGATGTGAGATCCAGAGAAGTATCAGGCACGCCTTCTCCCAGCCCCCAGAACCCCCTTCCAACCTCCCCAGGGCTCCCAGCCCTCCCGACCCCGTGGGGCCCAAGGCGCTACCTTGGCCACACCTCTGTAGGAGCTCCAGGTAGCGGCACCCATGCTGCCTGTCCTTCAAAGACTGCACTCCTTGTGGAAATGGCCTGGGCCTCAAGGGCTGTGTATGAACAGTGTCCCAGGCCAGAGCGAGTGGCAGAGCCGAGCCCAGATCTCCTCAAATCTCACCCGGTGCTCTCCCTACCACACCCCACACCGTCTCTTCAGTTCACTCACTGCCCTCCTGTGTCCTGTCCCTTGGTGTCTGGCCGGCCTCCTCCCCAAACCCTGCGGACATGGCAGCTGCATTAAGTAACATTCACAAGATCTGATTTGGGGAGGATGACCAAGACTTGGGCAGCAGCTCACCAGGCCCTAGGGAGGGCAGGGGGAAGGGTGGCGTGATTCAGGCTGGGCATGACGCTAAGGAAACAATAAGATAAAACTTAAGGGCCTTTGCCAGGGCAGGGCAGGGACGGGACTGTGTGCAGGGGGTGGGCAGTAATCCAGACGGAGAGTCCGGAGCACAGGTCTGAGGCGTGGAGATCCATATGGAAGGGGTGGAAGGGACAGTAACACCGACCACAGACGCCACAAGTCTAGACCTCAGCTACTGATCCAGCCAAGCTGGCAGCCCTGTGGGGTGGGCACCAGAGGCTGGCATTGGGGGATAAAAGGGCAGCAGCTTGACTAAGCCCCAACATAGGACAGCACCGGGGTGCTTCCTGCCTCCCGGGCAGCCTCTAGACTGGGGTGGGTGGGAGTGGCTAAGTAACTCATTGCCAGGGTGAAATAGGGCAGTGAGGGCGGAAGAGTCTTCACAGAACGAATACCACTCCACGCAGGACTCAGTGCCTGAAACTCTCCCAGTTAGGAATCGGCTCACGTTCAAAGGAATCTCACGTTTTTCTTATTCTAAGTGCAAATGTTACGTGTGTCGGTGAGGAACGGAGTAGGTGGCGGGTAATAACACACTCACTCCTACTGGGAATGGATCCTTTAGACTCACTTTCCTTCCCAAAGGCAGGCTGGGGAAGCACGTGGGCTCAGACATGGGCACCAGGGTGGAAGGAAAAGAAGGCACCCAGGTTTTACTGGAATCACCCTGAGAGAGACCAACACAGCCCCTCCAGAGGGACAGTCACCTAATTTGACTTTATTACTGAGCAGTCTTCCCTGGGGGAGGGGGCCCCCCGCCCCTCAGTCCCCTGGGGGAAAAGAGGAAGGACCCCAATGGAGGCTGGAAAGGAGCAGTGCTCAGGGCAGGCTCCCCAGGCCCAGTCAGGCCAGCCTGGGGCCCAGCTTGCCCCTCTTTGTCAGTCTCATTCTGTTTCTCTTGAGTTCCCTCATCCGTGGCATGTTGCATCTTTTCTGGGCTCGGATGAGCCAGAGCCCCGCAGCCAGAATCCCCAAGAGCAAGGCAAGGAGCAGTGCCTTGGCCAGGACGCAGAAGGAGGCCTTCTCCGCAGGATAGCCAGGGTCTGGGAGGGAAGGCAGGTAGAGAGGGGCTCACCAGAGGGACGGGCGAGGTCCCGAGTAGGGGGCAGACGTGGCCCCACACCCCACAGAGGAGGTCTCGGGGTCACAGGCAGCTGGCACTCCTCTGCAAGTGCTGCCTGAAACGTACGTTCTATTCACAGAAGCCCAGGAACTGAGATCTGGGGAGCAATCTCAGGCTGGGCAGGACAGAAGAAACCTTCGGAAGTTGGGAACACTAGGAGAGGGGG